TCCCAAATACTACATACAGGTTAATTAGACATAGTATCTAACCTTAAGGAGCTCAAATTTTGGAGATGAGTATGTACACAAATAAATAATTACAGCACAGTTTCTAAGTATACAGTATAGTACTGTAAAAGCACAAATTAGGTGAAGCAGAGGAAATATAATTTTAAACCAGAATTTGAAGAACAGGTGGAATTTTCCATGATGGGTTGGGGGCCTTGAATGGTAATATCAGCAGAGAAATCTATCCATGTGAGCAAAGGCATAGCGCAGATGTGTAAGATACGTTTTCAATACTGTTCCTTCAGATTTTTTCGACAGATAGCTAATGCCACTGTTATTTAATCAATAATATTTTCTGGCTTCTCAAATTTAAGTGGTAATGCCCTGTTTAGAGCTAGTTAATCTTTTCACATTAATTACCCCTGTGTTTAACAAAGACCTAAAAAGGCCACCTGAAAATGAAAATTTTTTTTAGGGAAAGCAAAAGAAACAAAGAGAACAGTAAAAGAATAAACATTAGCTGCTGGAGAGATGACTGGGAAAGATGGGTAAGAAAAAATACATATATAATACAATTTTTAAAATAGGTAGCAACATGCCCAGCTTGTGTGGCTCAGTGGTTAAGTGTTGACCCATGCACTAAGAGGTCGCTGGTTCGATCCCTGGTCAGGGCACATGCCCTGGTTGTAGTCCAAATCTTCAGCAGGGTGGCATGCAGGAGGCAGCCAATCAATGTTCTCTCTCATCACTCTCCCTCCCTCTCCCTTCCTTTCTCTCTAAAATCAATAAAGGGAAATTATTTTAAAAAAATAGGTAGCAGTGTGAGTTGCTGGACTTGGGGTCTCATGAGGAAACTAAGGGTCTTACTTGGGTCTCTGTCTCTAAAGCTCATGCTTTTCCAATGCACTAGTCTGGCTGAAGTACAAAAAGGGAATGAATGATTTTGGAGCCCAGTTTCACAATAGCAAGGTTTATGGAGACATGAAAGTGTGCCTCTGAACTATCTAAAGATCATTGTTCAGTCTTTTTTATATCCTCTCTTTTATTGTTTATATTGTAATATATAGAAACATCTGTAATTACTTACAGTACAAGAAACTTTTAAAGTTATTTGTTTTATCATAAGTTATGGTTCATCTGATTCCATTTTATATAAGATTGAATATTAAAGAATTCTTTAGATTGTTTAATTTACTTTGTTCCTGTATTATCAGACTTATTCGAGAGTTTATGCCTCTGTTATTTTATGAAAAATTGGAATTGTTCTTGGTATTTTGGTGATTAACTCTTAAATTACAACTGAACCTAATTATTATAAATATTCTATAATATAAAGAAACTGCATACCCAAGGTGTCAAACTAGTAAGTGGTCTTCAACATAGCTTATACTCTGTTCTTCAGCCAGTCTTTTAACTAGCATCCATTCCTGCATATCTTAGGTTAATTTATGTCACTTTGCACTAGTGAAAGTGATATTGTCATTGAAATTCCTTTTCTATTTATATTTCCTTTAACACATTGTACTTTTCCTTTATAGCACTTATTACACTGTACAGTTTATTTTTAGGATATTTTATTAGTATCTCTCTCCCCTACTAGAGTGTAAGCTCTGCAATGTCAAGAACTATGTCTGTTATTTACCATTGTTCCCAGTGCCAGGCACATATCATTTTTTTCACTGTTAAAGATACAAAGAAATTGTGTGAAATATTTTAAAAAACAAAATACAAATTCAAAAGTTTTTTAAAAAGCAGTAAGTATTTACTATAATACTGATAAACAAAAATTTGATTTCATAGTTATGTAAATGGACACAAACATAAGGAAACATCATTCTACAGAACACTGTTTACACTAGAAAGATTAGGCGTATAGAAAACTCTTCAGCTTCTTAATATTGAAAGGTATACCTTTGCTACCATGTTTTGGGTATTTAACATACCTTGGGCTTTTTATTTTTACCACAGTCCCATATCATAGGTACACAACTGTATATTTACAGATAGTAAAACTTGGCTGGGATAAATATCTTGTTCCAGGTCCCAAAATCATAGAGCTAGTAAACTATGGCACCAACATTCAAGTCCACAGCACGCTTGAAAAAGTCCATGTTCTTAAACACCATCCTGTATTGCCTATAAACATCGGCTTTTGGGGGGTCCCATTTCACACCTGGAAAATAATTTTCATTATGATTCATCTAGGAAACTAAATGAGATATCCAGGAAAATTCTGAAAAAGAATTATGAGGTGGGGTAGGCAGGAATTGTCTTACCAGATAATAAAATATAGTAGGAAACGACACTGTTTCATACTACACTTAAACATTTTAAATACTGGCATAGGAGACAGTTAAGTAGAGTAAGGGAAAAAAAATAGTTTGGAAATACTCCTAAGTGCAAGGGGAATTTATTCTATGATAAAGGGATATTTTTAATCACTGAAGAAAATGGATGATTTTATTCATGACATTTATGCTTGCTCTCTATATACAGAAATCAAAAGATAAATCACCTCTCTCATGCTCACCTGCAAAAGAAATGATAATAGATTGAGCATTATTCTAAATAAGGAACAAAATGCAAACTAAGAATAATGTTCCTTGCTTCCCCACACCCTCCTTGAGTTTAGGGTATATATGTAGGGGAGGGCGGGGGGGCGCATGAGTCAAAAAATTTTTTTCTCTTGGCTTTTGAGGGTATCAGACTTAGAAGAGAATACATGTAACTCACTTCCCAGCTAGGGCTCAGAAAAGCACCCTGTGTCCGTGGGTAGTAGGGGCCAGTAGACATTAACAACAAACTACCCAAGTATATCAGGGTACAATTAGCTGTTGGTCAACCCTCCTGCCTACCTACACACTTAGTTTCTCTACCAGCTTCCAGGAGCCCCTAGACAGCCTGAATCAAAGATCAAATTGAGGTATAAAAAAGAAAATATTTGTTTATACACCCTAGTTTGTGACTATACAATCTACACTAATTATTAGTCATGACAGAAACAAGAAAAACCCCGGCTGGTGTGGATCAGTGGTTGAGCATCAGGGGTTCGATTCCCGATTGGGTTCATATCCGGGTTGTGGGCCGAATCCCCAGTAGGGGGCATGCAGGAGGTGGCCAGTCGATGTTCTCTCTTATCGATGTTTCTATCTCTCTTTCCTTTCCTCTCTCTAAAAATCAATAAAGAAAAAAATATTTTTTTAATTTATTTTTTTATTAATTTTTGTTACAGATGTTTCTCCTTTTTCCCCCACTGATTCCCCCCTCCCTCTCCCTCCCTGCCCTGTCCCCAGTTTGTTGTCCATGTCCACTGTTCATGCATACATGCATATAAGTTCTGTGGTTTATCAAGAAAACATATTTTAAAAAAACATAAAAAGATTAGTAAATTTGACTGATAGACCTTTCCTGCATGGAAAAAAAATACTCTGGACAAAATAAGAAGTCAAACTTCAGGAAAATATTTGTAAAATTTGTTACATGGGGCTAATTTCCTTAATATTAAAAAGGAAATAATCCATGTATTTAAACATAAATGAGAAAAAGAAAAGCAGAATTTCTAGAATGAGCAAAAGCAGCAACATCTAAGGGGGGAAAAACAAGCATTGTTGTAAAAAAATTAACTAAAATAACAATCTGGGTGAATTTAAAATTCAAAAGGTATGTTAAGTTACTACAGGGAATGACAGGAATACATGTTGTAACCTCATATACCCTTTGAGCACTTATATGTGTAAGTTGTCCTACAAATGCTTTCACAATTCCACAAAAATGTCTTGTATGTAATGGTACTGGATTGGTTTCAGGGAGAATTGGCATTTAGGTTGTTTCCAGGTTTTTTTTTTCTTATTAGTGTCTAGTTAAATTATGGTATATCCATATAATGGAATACATTGCAGCTGTTGCAAAAATTGTAGAAGTATCAGTTTGGAAAGATCTTCAGACTAGATCAAGTGAACCAAGGGATAAAGCTCTGTATGTTGCATAGTAGAATCCTATCTATAAATTTAAATATATATATATATATATATATATATATAAATACATATTTAACAGAGGCTACTTATGAGGACTGGAATTTTTTTTGTTTTCATGCTGTTGGAAAGTTTTTCATCTTAGAACTTGTATTTTATATCTTTACGAAAAACAGTTTAAATTTAATATAATGTTTACCAAAATTCAGTGATTATAGGGCTGGATGAGAACTTTATCTTTTTATAGCAGATGGTAGTGTCACAAACAGGCAAAATAATCTTCTATGGGTGACTAAATCAAAGCTTATTTTGAGCAACTGTCATATGCCAGACATCATACTAAACATTATACATACATTTACCTTACTTAAATCTCTAACCAACCCTATCAGGTAGATTCTATTTTTCTCCTACTGGAAGAAATAGATTTAGAAGACTGAAGTATCTTGCCAACAGACGCAAATTCCAGAGCCTGTGCTTTCAACCCCTGTACTTTCTCAAATATTATTCAAAGGGGATCTGGAAATTCATTTTAAAAGGTTATTATTACTCCAGACAAAAGACCAGGTTTGAATTTGTGTCCAGTTTCATCAACTAAAAATAGAGATAATTTCTATTCTTCTTTGAAAAGACCATATTTGCATAAAGTACTGAATTAGGAGATTAGAATCAATAAAATATTTTTTTATCCATGGCCTGTTTGTTCATACAAGTTTTCTTTTGAATCTCTGTAAAATGCAAACTTTAAGTAACAGTTTTAGTCAACTTTTGGAATCTATTGTATAATTTAACTCTTAATTTTAGTATAGTACTTTTTCTTAATTTGAAGAAATATTCAATGTGTGTCTAACAAAATCTTGTTTCTACTTAAAATATTTTTACTAACTGTATTGTTAGCAGCATCCTTTCAAGACTACAAAAATTTCTCTATTTTAGAATCAAATGAACAAAAACCTCTTCATAAGGCTATACATTCTGTTTGCTTTTTAAAAAATACAGAAACTTACCTTTTTTCCCTCTTTTTAGGAACATCATCTTCAACGGGCTATTTCAGCACAGCAAGTGTATGGCGAGAAGAGGGATAATATGGTTATACCTGTCCCAGAGGCAGAAAGTAATATTGCTTATTATGAGTCTATATATCCTGGGGAATTTAAGATGCCAAAGCAGCTCATTCACATACAGCGTAAGTAACGACTCTCTTTAATAATTATATTTTCTGTATTTATCATCTTCCTATGTAACTCTTGGCAGATTTTTATCTGTTCAAGGCCATTTTCAGTACCCATTTTATTGACCAGCATTAATGAAATGAGTGTTATCAAAGCTCATTATCAGCTTTTAAAATTGTGCTTGAGATTTCTGCCTGACAAAAAAGATAGCATTTTTATCCTAGATTTTTAGTTTCATCTCAACATGGTATCTTATGCTACTTTAGACAAACAGGATAAATAATATACCTCAGATATAGAAATGGTTTTCTTACTGTTCAGAAATTGTAATGTTAATAGTCTTAGAGACTTCTTAATGTTAGTCTGGAGTCAGCAAACTTTCTGTAAAGGTTCAGACTGTAAATATTTTAGGCTTAGTGAGTCATTTTTGTCATTTGTCACAAGTATTCATCTCTTCTTTCATAAGGCCAAATCAGCAAACATAGGCAAATGGACATGGCTGTGTTCCCATAAAGCTTTATTGACCAAAAAGAGATGGCAACCTAGTATTGGCCTCTGGGCCATGTTTGCCAATCCTTGATCTGTATTTCTACTAATATTTTTAAATTTAGTGTTCTAATTGTTAACTTGTTTCACTTGATAGTGATAGGTTCTTTATTAGAAATAATCTTTTGATAACTATCACAGATGATGCTGAATAGCTGAGAGTTTGTAGATTTAGGGGAATATGTGTACTGTATATTTCATTCTCTCAGTCCCCAAGTAGTTGACAATTTAAAACATAGTTGATTAGTTACTAAGCTTTCATTGTTGTCTTGTTGACCTTTGTGATCAAGAGGTTTTTTCAGGATGTATCTATTTTGTTTTTATTGTTCTTTCTAAGGACATAAGTAGTTTTAACTAGTTTTTAACTCATTAACTACTTTCCTAACTCATTTAACCATTTCTTTAAATAATCTAGTTTTTGTCCTGGATTTTAAACATTTAATATTTCTTAAATGTGAAAAACAAAGTAAACATAGAGACCATATTGGTTCTTATCAGTACTATATTGACATTTGATTTGTTTTTAAGTTTTTAGTTTATTAATCCTCTCATAAAAAATCTGCATAATCACTACAGATAAAGTCACCGAAGAATTTCCACTTCTTTTTTGCAGCACCAACATTGGCCTTTGCAGTCCCCCTGATTTCTTCATTCTGTTCTTGTGTTCCTTTTGCTGTTTTCTTGAAGTCGTCTTCTTTTCAAACACACCATGTTTTATAAGTCTGTGTTTGAGTTCTTTTTGCAACTTGGTGTTTGAGTTCTTTTTTCTTTTTCTTTTTTTTGCATAATCCAAGGAATCATATATCATGCCAAAGCCAGTTGTCTTACCACCACAAAATAGGTTCTGAATCCAAATATAAAGGTGATATCTGCTGTGTGTGGCCTTATATATTTTGGTTAGTTTTTCCCATATTTTTGTTTTAAGTACTGTTGCCTTCCCAGGGTGAAGAATACTGATGACCATTTGTTTCTGCTGAATTAGTTCCTTGGTCATGAGCTTCCTGGTCTGGATAGTCATGTTGTTCATGATGGCAGACCGTCTTCAAGCAGCCAGAGAGGAAAAGAACTGTCTCATGTCTGTTTCATTATATTGTACACCTGAAATTGTCATAGCCAGAGTGTCTGTATATTCCTGATTCCATTCTTGAGTCCAGGGTGCCTTTTGTTTCACAAATTCTTGACCCACAATATTTCAGGCCTTAGTTATTCCTTCAGAGATAATTCTAGAGGCTGCAAGTCCAAGATCAGGGTGCCAGAATGGTCAGGTGAGGGCTCTCCTATTGTGTCTTCACATGGTGGAAGGGGGCATTTGTGATTATTTTTTTTTAATCTTTAACTCTTAACTTGCACTTAACCTTACTGATTTCCTTCAGAAAAAAATAATAATTTTATTTTACTAAAGGTTACTTTGAAGTGAACCAAAACAGTGTCATGTATTTTCTTGCCCACTCACATGTTTAATTACATATAAGACACATAATTACACATAAGTCGTCTTTGGAAAGAAAGTCAACTAAATTAGTGTTAGCTACCACTGAGTTTCTTTCAATGTTTTGTTTTGAATAATTATAGATTCACAGGATATGTGTAGCCTTGTATAATCACCATCATGATCAAGATACAAAATTGTACAATCGCTATAAGACTCCACCTTATTACTTCTTTATAACCAAACCCATCCCTAGCCCTGGCAACCACTAATCTGTTCTCCATCTCTATGATTATGTTAGTTCATGAATGTAATGTAAATGGAATCATGCACTTTGTATTTTTTTGAGATTGGCTTTTTTCACTTAGCATGATGTACTTAAAGTTCATCAGAGTTGTTTTATGTATCAATAATTCATTCTTTCTTGTTGCTGAGAAGTATTCCATAATATATATGTACCACTGTTCATAACCACTCTCCCATTCAAAGATATTTGGGTGGTTTCTAGTGTTTGACTATGACAAATAAAGGTATTGTGAATATCCATGTACAAGTGTTTGTGTGAATATAAATTTTCATTTCTCTGGAGTAAATACTTATGAGTATAGTTGCCTGGGTCACTCGTTTTTAGTCTCACAAGAGCTTCAATGCTATTTTCCAAACTGCTATATCATTTTACATTATCACCAACAACATATGTGTGATTTCAGTTTCTCCTGTGTCCTTGCCAGCATTTGGGATTATCACTATTTTTATTTTATCTAGTAAGTATGCAGTGATATCTCATTTATCCGAATAGAAAATATGTTAAACATTTTTTTATGTATTAATTTGCCATCTATGTATCCTCTTTGGTGAAATGATTGTGCATATCTTTTGCCCATTTTCTAATTGGTTTGTTTTGATGTTGAGTTGTGAGGATTTTGTTTTGTTCATTCATATATTTTAGACAAAGTCTTTGTCTATTATGTAATTTGTCTTTTCATCATCTTAACAAGGTCACAGAGCAAAAGTTTTTCATTTTGATGAGTCCACTTTATCAGTTTTGCTCTTATGGATGAATCATTATTTTGCTTTTAACTCCTCTTTCCCTTGTCCTGGGTTCCAAAGTTCTAGAAGTTTCACATTTTACATTTAAGTGTAGGATCAATTTTGAAGGTAAGGTTTAGGTCAAGGTAGTGAGTGAGTGAGTAAGTGTGTGTGTGTGTGTGTGGTGGAAGGGGGTTGTTTGTTTTTTGCCTCTGTCCAATTGCTCTAGCACCATTTATTGGAAAATTATCTCTTCTCCATTGATTTGCTTTTGCTTCCTTAACAAAAATTAATCAGGCATATTGATTTGGATCTATTTCTGGGTTCTGTATTCTCTTCTATTGATCTCTATTCTATAGTCTATCTCAGGACAGTACTTCTGTCTTGATTACTGCAGCTATATAATAATCCCTAACATCAGGGAGAGAGATTTCTTCTTTATTTTTCTTTATCTGCAAAGAAGCTTGATTAGGTTTTGATAGGAGTTATATTAAACATATAGATCATTTTAGAAAGAAATGATCTTTGTTGAATCTTCTAGTCCATGATCATAGTGTGAGTTTCTGACTATTTAGATCTTATTTGATTTCTTTCATTGACACTTTATAAATTTCATAATACAAATCCTGTACATTTTTTTAAATTTATACCTGAGCTTTTTATTTTCTTTGAAGCAATTAAAAGTGGGTTGCATTTTTAATTTTGGTTTCCATTTAATCATTTCACTATATAGAAATGGCTGTTCAATTATGTATTGATCTTATGTCCTGTGTTCTTAATTAAAACTACTTACTAGTTCTAGGAAATGTTTTCAGACTCTTGTGGATTTTCTGTGTAGAAGATAATGTTGTAGTCTGCAAATAGTGTTTTATTTTTTCTTTTTCAATTTGTATGTCTTTAATATTTTTTCTTATAGTGGCTAGAACTTTAGTACTATGCTAAAATGAAGTGGTGAGAGCAGACATCCTTGCTTATTCCTGATATTAGAGGAAAATAATAATTTAGTCTTTCATGTTGCCTGTAGGATTTTTTGTAATTGCTTTTTATGAGATTGAGGAGGTTCTCCTCTATTTCTAGCATACTGAGAGTTTTTATCATGAAAGGGTTTTTGTCAAATGCATTTTCTTCATCAGTTGATATGATCATGTGATTTTTTTTCCTTCTTTAGCCTGTTGATGTGATAGTTTACACTGGTTAATTTTCAAATATTAAAGCAGCCTTTTATACCTAAAATAAATCCTGCTTGCCTGTGGTGTAATTTTTTTCATACATTATTGGGTAGGATTTGCTAACATTTTATTGAGCGAATTCTTATTCTATTTTCTGGAAGAGATTGTGTAAAATTGATGTTAATTCTTTAAATATTAGTATTGGCTTTTTATTTATTCAATTTTATTAACATTAGTTAACAAAACCATACATGTCTCAAGTGTACATCTCAACAAAACATCATCTGCATACTGCATCGTGTGTTCACCACCCAAACTCTTGTCTCTCTCTCATTCCTCTTCTGGCCACTTCCACCTCCCTCCAACCCTCTTTCTGTCTGGCCATCACCATACTGTTGTTCATATCTATTAGCTTTTAACATACTATAATAAAATAAGAAAAAGTTAATTATAACGTAAATTTCTCCAAAGTTAACATTGCATCTTGATTGCTAGGTTCCTTGGAGTTTTTAAGATGACAATTAGTATGCCCTAAAAAAGCAATGACCTAACATATTAGAATTATTGCATATTGTATTCCCCTACCCACCCCCAGAGTCAATACATATAGGAACATTACTGTGTTTGTAGGCTCTAGTAGTCTTGCAGTTAAAAAAAGGCGGGGCGGTGGGGGAGAGGGTATTTTAACCAGCATTTTTCTAATGTGGTCATTACCTGTTACCTGTTAATATTTCATAACATTAGTTTGGAAAAATCTCAACTCTATTTTTGTCTTCAACTGGCTTAGGAAAGAGATCATAATTTACTCTCTTATCCTAGTCAGAGCTTTGAAGGAAGAAAC